TCGTCTACTGGTGACCTCCAACGTCGGACGCTCCTCCGAACCTTCCATGTAAAGAACTCTTTAACTGTGTTTGGTGATCTGAAAATCGAACCCTGAGAGAGAAGAAGACGCCGCAGTAAAAACAACAAACAGCTTTTATACGACAGTTTTTCCAACGCCGAGATCTCCACCGTTTGTAGTTCTAACGTTATGAGCATTATTCTGAACATTATTCTGAAGATATTTGCAGAACCGTGTTTATTTGTCTCAGGAAACATTTGAAAACGTGTTTTGTTCTTTGGGGAGTTCGCTCATTCTCGTCGCAGCTTTCACGGACCTGTGATGCTGAAACTGCCCTGTGGCGTGCACTGTGATCACACTGATCCTGTCTTTGTGTGTCCAGGTTACTCCAGTCTGCCCTTCAGATGGTTTGAATATCTGAAGGAGAGCAAGTCTGTGGCTGCACCGGTGAACCTGTTCAACAGGGTGAGGCTGAATCGACAGATTCATCAACATGACGACTTCATGCAGTCTGAGCAGCTCTGAGTGTAGACGTAGAAACATAGAGCAGACATGTTGAACTAGAATTATTAGAAAGACGATGTCAGCAGCAGCCTTCAGCCACTGCTCGGCTCAGTCCAGAGCGCATGAGTGTTTATTGGCTCAGTGGTTAGAGGCGGAGCTTCATCGCCTACACTCACTTACAGCAGACGAGCATCATCGTAGAGGTGACTCTAGTGAAATAGTTAAAGAAACAGAACATGCACCAGGTTGCATGTCTGATGCGTTTATTGTTACATGAATGAAAACAAAGCCACAAAAACACGTCTGACACTGATGTGATTATCAGAGGTTTGTGTTTGTCAGCTCCTCACTGCTGTAAACATAAATGTAAACACAGACTGTCATTTATGACTTTAGCTCACAGCAAACAGACGTCTTCATGTTGCTGATGCACAGAATTATAAACAGTTAGAATAAGTTTGGTCATTTAATATTTTCTTTCTGAGTATTTTAGGGTTGCAGGTTTGTTTGTGTGGAGGAACCGAGTGAAAGTTTCCCGACGTTTGTGTCGTCACAGGTGATCGGCGGTCGTCTCCGGCTCG